TATCCCATTATGGCTTCCCTGCCACGCTAGGAGGTAGATAGTGTAAGACGTCCTACAAAGAGAGAAACAGAGGCTCAGAAGAGCCAACTCACAAGCCCTGCACCACACAGCTGGGGTACAGCAGCACCAAAATCTGAACCCAGCCAGATCTCGCTGGTGCACATTCAAGGGTAGGTCTGCTGAACGCCAGATGCTTCCTTCCCGTTTCTTAAAGCTATAGTAGTGGTGCCAGGACCTTCTACTTTAAATTCTGGGGATAACTGAGCAGCGGACAAGGCCTAGCTTGGCAGGCGAGGCTTGGAGAATTTGTTCTCTCCTCTTGCAGCCAGACAGGCAAGGCAGAACCCAAGCCTGTGTCCTGGGTGCCAAGACATGAAGACAAGCATTGCCTCCTTGTTCTCCTCCATCGCTGTCATCACCATCGTCAGTGAGGGGAGAACAGCTGAAGGCTGGTGGCTGTCTTATTTGGGTTTCTCTTGGTGGGTAAATAGCATCCAGGTCCAATAATAGAATGGAGACTCATAGAAAAGCTCAGAGGAGAGAAGGGATGGCTGGGCATTACATTTGCCAAGGGGCTGTCCAGTGCGTACAGGAAGGAGACATAAAGGGAGGCAGAAGTGTAGCCCAGATCATCCCCATCAGAGACAGAATGCCCAAGTGGTTGGCCCAGAGGAGCAGTTCTCATATTTTATATAAGCAACCTAACCAAAAGGTTGTCTGTCTCCAGTCCCACAAGATTTTGGAAAGATGATCCTCAAGACTGTTTGAATCCAGACATTAAATAAACAAAACTGTACATTTGTGGCAAAACGGTAGCTAGCAGGCGCTTACTATAGGCCAGAGGCTTTAAGTATCCGTATTATATTATGTAATCACCACAATAAACCAATGAAGGAGATATTTTAACCCCTCTTTGCAGACCTGGAAGCTAGGGATCTGGAAAGTTCTTTGCCCAGGTTGCATGGGGGCTGCCGGGGGATTGGAGTCCACGGTTCTGCCAAGCCCGTGCCGCCCCACCTATGGCCAGCCCCCGAGCAGAGAGGCCTGGAAGTATGGACACTCAAAGGCATTAATTCATCATCTTTTAGGACCCAGAGACCCCTTTGAGAATGTAAATTAACTTCCCCCTTAGACAAATGCACAACCCACTCCAAAGAGAATTTCAGGGAGACCATGACCCCTTCACACTCATGGTTGACGGTGGCTTATGGTCACCTGCTCCCCAGGGAGATTATTCCATCTAGGTCCAAAGAAATCATATTTGAACCTTGGTTCTCCTTGTCTTCGAACTGGAGTCTTAATCACCAGGCTGTGGCTGTCCTTGGCTCTAGTAATAGAAATCGATGAGTAGTCCAAAGCTCAGGCCTGCGTCTGACACTAAAAGATGATGCTGGGACCTTCTTATTGACCTAGTTGATTTTTATACAAAAAAATAAAGAACTCCAGTTTATGTGTATATCCCATACAGAGTTCTCAAAAAGAAAAAAAAAGAAAACCCTAATATATAATCTTTGCATAATAGACCAATTACAGATTTTCCAAATCTCAGTAATCTAGCTTTCAAAGCTTCTTTGAATAATTACATTTTCATTTGAATTCCATAACCCTCTAAAAGAAGGAGGAAAAGTTCCAAGGAAATTATTCTTATGAATATGATATAGTATAAATAAAAATATGATATAGTATACTTATAAAGTATAAAGTGTCAAAAGCTGGGCTTATACACATTAACTGATGTTCATCTCCATTAACATATGTTGAGCCCCTATTATTTGCCCAGCACATGCAAAATACTTTAGTACACATGATCCCATTTCATTGCTCACGCCCAGCAAGCCCTTGAGGGAGACAAGGCCATTATTATGACCTCCATGTCATGGAAGAGGAAACTGAGGTCCAGGGAGGCCCTGTGACCTGCCCCAGGTGAAACATGGGTGGGTAGTGGCAGAGCCAGGACCAAAGCTCTGGGTTCCAGACCAGCCCACGTGCTTGTACCTCAACCGACGTGTGAAGCAATGTTTCACGTGTCTGCTTGAGATTAGAACTTGCTGTATGTAATGCAAATCCCAAGAAAGCAAGCCTGTGAGTACATGTAAGGATCACTTGCACGATGAATTAGGAAACTTTTGTCCTCCCCGACATTCAGGGCTCATTTGTGGGCCTCCTTGGCTGGGAAGCCCCCTGACCACCACCCCCTTTTCCCAGCAGAGGACCTCATACCCTGGAACCTGGGGCCACTTATCACACTGGATCATGATCATCTGGTGCCATCTGCAGTGAGCCCTCCACGGGTAGTAAATTTCTGAATAAGAGTCAGGGACATCGGGGGCCTCCGGTGAGGGATTGGACCAACGTTTGTTGCCATGACAACGGCTTCTTGACTTGGCCTCTGACCAACTGTCTCAGCAGGTGAGCAAGCAGGAGGAAGCAAGGATGACTCAGGGTGTCCCTGCCTGGGGTGAAAGCAGGGATGACTCATCTATTGAGGCAAAGGAGGCAGGCAGGAGGCCCGCCTTGGATGTTGGGCATTTCTATCAAGGTCTTGTCTTCCCTGCCAGGCTGAGGGTTTCTGAAATGCAGGGATCACCTCTCAATCACCTCTCCATCCCCGGCGGAGCCTCCCGCAGCACTGGGTAGTGTCCGGTGAATGGTGAACCTGTATTGTCCAATTAATGCCAAGTTGTGTACTAGTGTCAACCACACTGGTTTTCAAACTGCTCGTCGTGACCCATGGGTGGGGGTCATGAAATCACTTTTGGTGCTGCAGACCAGCATTTTCATTAATGAGTTAGAAGAGAAGCGAAAAGGAAAAAGAATGAGAGTGATCCTACATCATAAGGATCAGTATTATTTTACGTGAAATTTTTTTCATGGAGAACATGAAAAATGTGTGGTGGGGGTGATTGTGTGTACACTGGGCTGTGATATAAAACACATTTTTATTCTGACTCACAAAGTGTTTGAAAAATAATAGAGAACAATCTTAGAAAGACACTTATTTGGCCAATTTTCTGATTATAGGAACGTGAGAATCTAATGGTCATTTATTTGCATTGTTTATCTATGTATTCAGTATTCATCCACAAATCATCTACGAGAGTTGCCTTGTCCACTGTGTCATCCTGTTCGGTGTGAATGGGGAGCATCCAGGAGCAAGTGACTGGCTCAGTGTGACCAGAGTCACTAACTGGGCAGCAGGGGCCAGAAGAGGTGTGTGGGACTGGTGCCACCTCGTGCCGGCCCATCTTCTTCAAAGCAGGGACCTTTGCTGAGCTTTTGTGGTTCAAGCAGGGTGAGCGGTGGCCTCGAACTGCTGACCTCTGCAATCTCTCTGTCTCCACTCACCCTACCAGTTGGCTTAAGTCACTCGGCGCCTGTATGTTGATATGGTCGTATTGTTCCCATGGGTTTCTTTTGTCATTGGCAGTCTTGTCTCCTTGGTTAGTTTATGCACAACTCGAGTGTATCTTCTGCTGCTTTTGCATCTCCAAAATGCCTTGCAGGGTTGGGAACAGAGTAGGCACTCAATAAATGCTTCCTGTGTGTTAACAACTCTTCATTGCTCAGGTCCCTTCTAAGACGTCCCTCTATTCCTCACGTTCTCGTACTGTGGAGCACGTACATATGGCTTCCTGGTTGTGTGTGGTAACAGTCTTCTTCGCTTAGACTGTGAGCCCACTGAGGACAGGGAGTGTATGTATTCTTTTTTTTTTTTAAGATGTATTTATTCTAGAGAGAGACTTGAGTGTGAGTCGGGGGGAAGGGCAGGGGGAGAGAATCCCAGGGAGATGCCATACCCAGCGCAGAGCCTGACGTGGGGCTCGATCCTATGACCCTGAGATCACGACCTGAGCCAACACCAAGAGTCAGACGCTCCACCGACTGAGCCACTCAGGTGCCCCAGGAGTGTGTGTATTCTACCCATCACTGCATCCTCTGCCCCTAGCACAGCACAGTGCCCACCTGCCTTGTTCATTGTGTCCTCAGTGATCTGTACTTGCTAGTTGTATCTATTAGTTATCACATAGCAATGCTGAGTACCCATAACCTCCACTATCTCAAAGACCCACCAAATCGGTGTTTGTTAGTGTGGAGCAGCTCTAAGCTACAGGTTGGTACTGGAGCAGCTCCATGTGTCTCCTCACCCTCCTTTGATGAGCAGGCCGGCCAGGGAATGTTCCTCTTGTGATGATGGCAGAGGGACAAGAGAGCAAGTTCAGCTGTACAAACGCTTTTCAGGCCTTCGGTTCTATCACGTGCATTAATATACTTCTGGCCAAAATTAAGTCAATCAGTGAAGCCCAAAGTCAAGGAGCAAGAAAGCAGGCTCTGCCTAGGGAGGTTTGGGTGGTGAAGGAAAAAGTGAATATTTCTCAATAACCTACCCAAGTAAGTTCTCAGGCTCTTGCTAAATGTTCATGGGATGGCAAGGAAGGGAAGAAATAATTAGACGGCAGAGGTTTCCCATAGGTTTTCGCCATAAAGTTGCAAAAGTCCATGGGGACTCTTCTACCACAGAGAAAGCTAGAGTTTTGTCTAACAAATAACAGCCCAACCACCCAGAGTTAAGTTTGTGGGGCAAATAAAAGAAGCCCTCGGAAGTGACGACGGCCAGCAGAGACTCCCCCTCTGCTCAGGGACACTCGGGGGTGGCAGTTGCCTCTGGGAGAGAGAATGGGACAATGACCACTGGCTCCTCAAGAGGCATCTCTGTTGGGATAGAAGCCAGGCTGGAAGAAAATGTTCTAGTGTGTGTCCTTTGGCATTGTGTGCATGCAGATGAATGCCCACATGTTTGTTAAAATCAGCAGGTCAGGATCTTGAGGAATCCTTTCAAAAGAGCTAGCCCTCGCTTCTAAAAGGAGTTCAGAGCCCTGGTCACCATGTTGGCTTACCAACCCTGGTATGGTTTGAGGTGGTGCAAGGTTTTGTGCCCCTCCCTTGGATACCTGAAAAATAACAATCTGTTTTCTTTCATTGTCTCTGCCCGCCAACTGCAGGAGTGCTGTGCCTACCAGACAGCCTGAACCTTCACAGGGACCCGCAGCGGTCAAACAAGCCGGGGGACCTGCCCATGTTCAGCCAGTCGGAGTTGAGGACCATCGAGCAGTCCTTGCTGGCCACCCGCGTGGGCAGCATTGCAGAACTAAGTAAGTGGACACCGGTTCTCTGGCCCCTCTCTGTGCCCAAGGTGCAACTCCCCTCAGGACAGTGCTTTGTCACCAGCCAGTTGACAGCTTTTACTGAGCACCTGCTGTGTGCACAGAACACTGCCATGGTAGCCATAGGGAAGGCAAGGGCTCTGGAGTCAGGCAGGCCTGGTAAAATTTCCTGCCACTGTCGCTGTTGTAAGTCAAGTTCTTAACATTTTCTGAGCCTCAGTTTCCTTTTCTGTAAAATAGAGAAAATAAGAGTACCTGACTTAAAGTATGGTTGTGGTGATTCAACGAGCTAAGGCCCATAAAGAGTTTGCCACGGTGGCTGGCACATGGTACACACTCTATAAATGGTGGCTGTTCATTGTTGATTTCTGATGAGATCCATTTAAAGCATATGTCAGATCACGTCTTTCCTCTGTTCAGAATCCTCCAATGGCTTTCCATCTGACCCACAGGAAAAGCTAAAGTCCTCAGAATTGCTTGCAGGCCACTCCACATATCCCTCTTATTCTTCCACTCTCCCCCAAGACCCCCTGAACTCCAAGTACTCCGGCCCCTTGTTTTTCCTTGACTATAGCAGGCATGCCTCAGGACCTTCGCACTTACTATTCCCTCTTCCTCAACCACTCTTCCTCCAGAGAGCCACATGACTGACTCCCTCATTACCTTCTAGTCTCACCTAAAATTATAATACACTTTAGGGGCACCTGGGTGGTTCCCTTAACCAACATCATGTGGTTAAGCATCTGACTCTTGGTTTCAGCTCAGATCATGATCTGATGGATCATAAGATTGAGCCTTGCATCAGTCTCTGCTCTCAGCGGGGAATCTGCTTGAGATTCTCTCCCTCTGCCCTTCCCCCCAAATAAATAAATCTTAAAAAAAATTATAATACCCCAAAGACCTTTTTCCCCCTAATTTTTTTTGTTTTTTAATAAAAGTTTCACAGAGATATAATTTATAGACAGTTCATCTCTTTAAAGCATACAGTTCAGCGGTTTTCAGTTATTTACTAGGGTGTGCCATCAACCACCATCAGTTTTGGAACACCAATTGTCATCACCCCAGCAAGAAACGTGGTAGCTGTTAGCGGTCATTACCCTTCCCCGCTCTACCTAGCCACACTCTGTATTTTACTCTTTTCTTTTTTTTAATTGTTAATCTCTCCCTACTAGAATATATTCTCACAGAGAGTAGAGATAATTTGCTTTGTTCATTGATGTAACCCTAATGCCAAGAACACTGCCTAGCACATGGTATGTCCTCAGGAAATGTGAAGAGAAGGGGGAACGACAGGGAGAGAGAGGGAGAGAGAAAGGAGCAGAAAGGTGGAGACAAGGGAGGAATTGTCAAGAAGGCTGGGTGTCTCGAGTCTGAGCGGTGATGTGCCATGCTTATGCACCCTCTAATTCAGGGCTGTGCCCTTGGAGTCTGGCCAACCAGAAGAAAATAAAACTGTATTTACTCATGATTCAATTGATCGTCAGATTGCTTGATGGCGTGTTCCTGATGGGATCTGAGCATTGATCTCAGAAATGATGGATTATGTTGAAGTATGAGTTGGTGTGACATTCTAGAAAATTCTGAACCATAAAAAGGAGTCAGGGTGCAGAAGGTAACTTGCGCCTCTTCCCAAAGGAAGTCCCTATACACGCAGGACAGGCATCCTCTGTTTAGCACAAAGGGAAGTCAAAGTTGATTCAAGCTGTGGGGGGCCCTGTGGTCATTAGGGAGCTACTTTTTGGCACCTAAACTTGGAAATTGCACATCCATCCTCATCAAACCCAGAAGTCACAAGATGCTGCCTATCACAGGGTCTTCCAGCTACCCATCAGCTATATAATCGTTCTTAAACTTTTGGGTGCCATGGACCACTTTGACAGTCTGGTGAAGCCTGTGGACCCTGCCTGAGAATAATATTTTTAAATGCATGAAATAAGTGCATACATTTACAAAGGAAACCAATTATATTAAAATTCAGTTACTGAAATATTTTTTATCAAAATTGTGATGTAGTCATTCTGTACTTTTTAGCAGCACATTCTATAACAGGATCTAGCAGCAGCTTTGATGACCCCATTATTTGGAGGTAGTGATATGTGTGAATGATATTTTGAAATATCTTCAGTAATTGGAAAGGGATAAGAAAATGTCTGCACTTTCACAGCTCCCCGGGGATTTTGGATATAGAGGGTCCAAGCAGCACCTCGGGGGGAAACGTTGCTCTAAGAAGAAATGCCACACTGTTTGGGCCCTTCCAAATTCTAAGACATGCCCATGACCCTGGAAATGCAGAATCTGTCAACAGGATTGGGTCATGCCTGCGTGGGCATAACCTGGGAAGAGCTTCCTTACCAACTCTTCGCTGGGATCTCAGAGGTTTATCCTGGGATAACCTTAAGGGTCCCTCTTAGAGTCTAGCACCTGGACTGGGGCCCTGCTTAATTCTGATACTCTTCAAAGGAAGGATTTGCTAAATAAATCTGTACTTCACCAAAGCAGTCAGGTTGCAGCAGCAGCCAGACGAATAAATTGTTCTTAAGGACAATTTGCTCTGTAAATTAGACACTGTCATTCTCATTGAATGTTGACTTTCACATATGAATTGTCAGCACACAAATGGGTGCTGCTAATTACAAAGGGGTTTTGTACATTCATTAAATCAGCCCCATGGAAGATGTGTGTGCAAGCACATTGATAAGCTACCTCGGCAACCAGAGGTAATAAAATTGCCTGCTTTTCTGATCTGACTGTAATTTAGAGCGGCTTGCCCTGTGGTCTGAATCAATACGAGCCTTGCTCTCTCTGTTTACATAGAAAGCTGTTCTTCATATTCAAAGATTATTCTATCAATGTGGCTTGTAGAAACTACTGTTTTTCTGCAAAGGTGAGCTAGAGCAAGTCTGTTCCCAGACATCCCTGCTCTTCCGGAATCAGGCTCAGAGCCCCTACCCATGGCCTTCTCAGTGGTCAGTAATGATCCGCAGTGGCTGATGTTATGGAACCAGGGAACTATGATAAATGCGCATGAGCTATTTCCAGTGTAACCACTGTTGTCCGCACTGGCAGGAATGGAGGCGAGAGGAGGATGAACAACTTGTCTAAGATCCACCGCACCCACGAGCTGCTGGAGTTGGGACTGAGTGCAGTTCTCAAGGCGGAGCTTCCATGCCTCACCTCTAGACTGCCCTCCCTCAGGGAGCAGCCCAGCAGATGTTTCCACATGTTACAGGTGCAGTGAGGGCTCTGTTCCTTGCAGCTCTGAGGATCAGCTGCTTGCCCTGTAGGATGCATCGTGGAGGCTCTCCTCTAATCACAATTGGAGGTGCAGAAAGTCACAGAGGATACCACCTAGATGGGGACCACCATGGGGGACAAGATGTCTCCTTGTAACCCCTGCCTGTATCCTCATCACCCAGGATGTTCACAGCAACTTACCTTTGTCCAGCGCATTGTGGCTTGGGGTGAAAATACATCCACTCATTCTGGAGCACCTGCTGTGTACCAAGTGCCTTCAGTAGATGAAAGGTGTTCCCACTTCACAGATAAGAAGACTGAAATTTGGAAGAAGAGAGGTATTGCCCAAGGCCACACAGCAAGCAAATGGCACAGTCATAATTCAAACCCAGTTTTGGTTTTTTCTGCCTTTCTATGCTGTGTCCCATTCAGCTTTGCATCGTGAGCCCCAACACATCACCCCTAGCTTGGGAGATATCTGTCACCTGTCAGTGAATAAAGGGATGACGCACAGTGAGCTAGTCTCTGAAAAAAGACCAGAAGAAAATGCCACCAGTGAGGGGAACTCTTGATGACAGTCCAGTCAAATACTCAGTATTCTGTGGAACTGGATTTTGATCTCAGAGACCTGGAACAGAGCCTATGTATGCCTAAACTATTTGAGTGCTAAGCTCCATTAGGATGTCACAGAGGCCCCCAAACTGACACAGGCTGGCGATTTTTTTAAACTCTGAGCTCTAGAAAATTTACACGATGATGTGCTGAACTTCACAGTTGACCTAGAGACCGGCAGGCATTCCCTTCAGGCTCTCCTTCCCTGAACCAGTGACCAGATCTGGGGGAATTGGGTCCACCCAGGCTCTCCCACTGAGGCCATGGGAGAAGCAGGGGCCCATGCTTTGTTCTCACTTTTGAACCAACTTGACTCCGCATTGGGTTCCACTCAATCTCATACTTGTGTCCTCTGAGGTCTTGTCTCAGCTGTTCTGCCTGACATCCCAGGTACACCCTGACATCCCAGCCTTACACACAAGCTCCCAATGAAACCCCATTGGACAGTCATTAGTTATAGTGTTTGTTTTCTGTGGTTTAAAGGGGAAAAAAAATGAGAGCCTCATCATAAAATGCCCCTTCCTATTCACACTAAACTTTTCACACTCAGCTGTGAACTTGTTGCTTCCATTTGATGAGGCAATCAAAATGGGGCCATTAATTTACAACGGTGAGTAAAAAGGTTTCTGGGTTGCCTCTCCTCGGTGTCACCAGAAAGGAAAAAAAAAAAAAACTTAGTCCTTATGGACAAGAGGGTCTCTCTCCTTGTTTGGAATGCAGATGGGCTCTTTTCAGAGAGTCCTGCTGCCTCCAGCCCCTGGGGTGCACCTGTGACCCTCTCCAATGGCAAAGTGGCCACTGACCTCTGGGTATTTTTTGAATATTCTGCTCTACCACAGAACCTTTGCCCTTGCTGCCCTTTCTGCCTGGAAAGCTCTTCCTCTGGTATTCATAAGTCTCCCCTGCTGCACTGTCACCTCCTCGGAGAGGCCCTTCTGTGACCACCCCCCTTACCGCCTCCCCCACTGCTCCCTATACACTCTTCCTCCTTTAATTTTCTTCATAGCACTTATCACCACCTGACATACTGTACGTTTATTTACGTACTATCTGTCCACCCCACCAAGATTGTAAACCCATGACAGCTGAGAGGGTTGGTTTTTTGTTTTTTGTTTTTTTTTAATATCACTATATCCTCAGGG